CTTTCCTGCAGTGCACTATATGAAGAGAAGAAAAGGTAGAGATGAGTATTAGAATACAAAATCATTACATTTTAGCTGCAGATTGTGCTTGAAAAATTTTTCATACTGCCGTAAAATATTTTTTCGCTTTCCTTGTTCTGTCTCAGTTGCCATGGTGCAGCAACCTCTGCCCCGTATTCTTAGCCAGCGAGCTCGCTCCTGACCTCGGCTAATGCTCCTTGTTGTACACACACTGCCCTCGGCTGCTTGCCCAGGAAGGTCATACTTCAAAGTGACACAGACAGCAAGGTCACCGTCAGTGAATGCTGTTGGCAGATCAGTTGTCTCGTTCAAGACCGTCTCTCCCCTGTTACTGTACCGCAAAAGCACTACGGTGCCACCAGCAGTCACTTAGCACGTCACTTCTTCAGAAGGAAAATAACATCTGAGGGTCCTTTTTCTGTGCAGAAATGTGGCTCTACCTCCCAGCTTTTTGTCTGGCTCTTTCGTGCTTCATATGAAGCCTAACAAGGGCTGGCTAAGTCTTACAACTAAACAGCAAAGCTGAAGAATGTTACTCCAGCAGTGGTAAATGTGCCATCTTTGATTATGACATTTTTAACAACTTATGTTGTAAATTTGCCCTTTCTGCAGAGGCTCCTATTGTCATTTTTTATATGTTTTACCCTTCTCTGTATATGTATGCTTCCATTTCTGTTTCACTTGCTTCTACAACAGTTGAATCTTTCCCAGTGTGGGACTATAAAAGCTATTTCTATTCTAGCCTAACTAGACTTGGCCAGAGCTTTTATTCATGTCAGCCCTAGTAAGATTGTGTGTGAGAATTCCTCTTTCCGTTTGGCATACACAATCGAACCTGAATTCTATCCTCCTTATGGGGCACTCAGCAATGATGAGTAAGCAGATTCCATAAATGACCCAGCTGTTGGAGCATATTGTGTTTCGCCTCATCGGGAATTCATCGGGAATGACAGCAGATCAGCTGCGTTCGCTCACAGCCATGTCTCCAGTTGACCAGCCCTGCATTTGAAACAAGTACTTTAGTCTGGTTCAGCCAGGTGGTGGTATTGACGCTGCCCAAACATGTGGCTCATTATGGCAGCAATTATACTGCACTTGTCTTTGTAAAGAAAAACACATCAGTCAAAAATGAAATATTAAAGAACAGCAATACATTAGCTGAGTATTTTAATACTAGACTGAAAAACAGAAGTTTGTAACTGACAAACATCCAAACATATTGCAAATTTATTCAAAGGTCAGAGAGAGGAAAACTAAAGATAAATCCGAAACCCTGTGTTCCAGTCTGAATCATTGATTTTTTTCCCAGGTCTTTAATGGATGGGCTAAAAATATGCTACTTCTGGATGCAGGTCTTATTTTGACAGCAATCTCTTTACATCTGCCCTTGAGGACAACTCGAGAATTCAAGAAGCATTGTAGAAGCTCTGAAAACATAACCTGAAATGTGTTTAAATCATTGAACAAAGTATGACTGCAATCCAGATTAACCTTCAAACAAGCTGAAGCTTGACTGTTGCTGTAAATGGAGGTATTAAACACCAAATATGCTATATATGTCCCTGAAATCTACCAGGGACACACAAATAACATGAATTCAGAAATAAGACAGATTATACTTCTTTTCACCCCTTTGCACTTTTTAAATTTGTTTTTTAGGGATGGTAGTATCCAAGGTTTTTTGCATATTACCGCTCTTATTCTGTTTTGATTCTTTTCGTTTTTACTTCTGAAGTCATTAGAAAAATGTGAGGTTAGAATTCAACATTTTTATACATTAAAACTGCAAGATTATTGGTGTAGGCTAATTGTTTTAATAAAGGGACATATACGTATGATATTTAAATATTTCTACATAAAAAAATACTGAAAGTTGTTGGTGACGCTAATGCCCCCAAACTCAACTCCTTGTAAACCCAGATTCCACTGCAGTCAGAGCTGTACATCCTTTGGCACTATGGCTAAACCCTCCATGGGCATCTGTATACATTTTTTTTTCCATGTTGTCTTCAAGATAACAATATTCTTCCAACAGGTTCTCTGTTGGATTTAGGTTTGAATTTTAACTTCTTTTTTTTGTTTTTTTTAAGCAGTATATTTATTAAGTTTTCCAAGTAGTTTGGTACAATGTAACATAAATTAGGAATAACACATGTCTATGTAATAAATAAAAAAATAAAGAAGAAAAAAGAAAAGAAAAGAGAAAACAAATAAATAAACAGACATAAAACAAAATAACAGGGAGATACAGGGCGTATTATTCAAGATGATGATATGTACTGTTGCATCACTGATACTTTAAATCAAAACAGACTTTATCAAAAAAGAGGTGAATGGCTCATTATGAGTCTCAAAATTGTTCAAGGTCTCCATCAAATTGAGCAAGATGGTCCAAAAATGGTTGCCAAGTCTTATAGAATTTTTTAAGATTGTCCATCATGGCATAGAATTTTAACTTCTTGAAGGTAAGCTCCAAATTGCAGGAAAGTACCCTGGCATTAGGATGATGTCACCACCTTGTTTCACTGCAAAGACAGGATGAAGTCCAGTGTTAACTTATCCTACTGTATATTGAAGAGTTTGCAACAATTCATGTAGGGGAACACATCACGACATAAACAGACGTTTTCAGAAGAAAAACATTATTACTTATCAAAGGTTTGTGTTAAAAAATATTTTTCATTTAACTACCATTACCCACATTTACTTATTTAAAAATTAAGTAAAAATCAATGTGGCTTCAGGAAAAACATTTATGAAAAGGCAAATTAACTCATATTCTCTAAAAAAAAATAATTCATAACTTTCATGAAAACAGCTAAAATGAAAACAAGTTGAAAATAATTCTGCCAACCTCCTTATTCAAAGTAATGATCCATTACCTCAAAATCTATCTCACTGTACATGATGTAGAAACAATAACCCTAATAAGTCTGATTTATGAAATATCACATAGTCAATCATAAAGGAGATAACTGCTTGTTGTATTTTTCAAAATTTTAATGATGGTGTTTTGTGGCTGCCCATCGCAGTTTCTGCCAAGTACTGAATAAAACCCTTGACATATTGGTTCCAATTGTTGTTTTTGTGGATTTCACTTTAATGGAAAATTCTATCAGCATGTTTTGATCAACACAAAACTGGTAAAAAAAAAAAAAAAAAGCTCTTTCTCCCTTTTCTGCCTATCCTGTGATTCAGGGAAGGCGCAGCTTCTCTGAAAATGGAGGGCCTTGTATTTGCTTCTTTTATTAACGTCAAAAATGTGGACAGAAAACAGGCTGTGTGCTGCAACACAGACGGAGCAGATTATGCATTTGTATGCAATCACTCTCACCTATGCATGCTTACTTACATCACTTATGTATACAAATTCCACACAACAACACAGGTGTGTAGAAGGAGTTGCTCACTAACACCTTTATGAGCCTAAATCTGCATCATTTGCCAAATCCAAATGGCTCGAATAGGCAGATAGTGCATTGCTAATTCAGAGTTAAAGCACATACAAGAAAAGCAAAGTCCATATTAGTGCTTTCCTTTAACCATGATGCTTTATATCAGAGGGAATGCGTCAGCTGTAGCATGGTTAACTCTCAATAAAACATCAAAAGGGATGAAGCTCAGAGGTCTGGACAAATACACACCCACACAGATACTAGATACAGAAAGACTTTTGGTTCTAATACACGTAGCTACACTCCTGGTGCATATTTTAACAGCTGCATGGTGTGGGTGAAGTCAGTGGATGAAATGAACAGGCAGAACAGATAACGGGTTTGCATCCCTTTCAAGGGAAAGCAAAGAGACTATGTCAACTGAATGCTAAATTTCAATTTCAATAGATCGTTTGTGTGCCATAGCTTCCTGCAATCAAGCTATATATCCACTGGAACAATTGGCAATCTGGTAGCTGGGACAGACGAGTCAATGACAGGTACACAGGAGCTGTCATCAACTTCCCATCAGGCTCCACTTCCCCCCAGTGGATGATTTGAAAGAGGAGAAAGACTTCTTTTGAATTTTTTATATCCAGAGGCAAAGGCATTTAATGGTCACTGTTTTGCATGTTACATGAGGAGGTGGCATTATAATCATGGGCCCATGCCAAAACCCAAGCTGTGACAGCAAGCCCATTCATTATTAAATGATTTTAAATATTTCATGGGAAAGACAGGAAGCTCATGAAATAAATATTTCAAACACTGCGTTACAAAAAGAGGTAGTTTTACACTTGTCTCTTATTGATTAAGAGGACAGAGAAGGATGGTTAGATTTAAGTATGTACACAGTGTCCTAAAGTGGACTCCAGTTCATTTAGAAAAAATGGGAGACGTTTCAAAAATACTAAGGATTTGAGAAAACAACAAAAACAAAAGCTGCAGAGGTTTTAAAAAATAAATTGAATGCTGAACCAGAAGTGAATTGCCTTTAACTTCGGATGACTGTATAATGCAGGGTGTTACTGATACAGCTACACTGGACATAATCAGCTCTCTGTTCACAGAGATTAAAAAGGATAGGCATCCTTTAACATTCACATACACCCACAATAAAAAATAGTTGCTGCTCCAAACTAATTCTCCTCAGGCAAACCAAGACATTGTCAAACCAGGAGAACAAAACTGCGGCAATTATGCCCCCTTCCAGTTGCAACCTCCCTTGGTGACACGATATTGCACTGGAGGTAAGAAATGAATTGTTTCACAGACAGGCGTCTTCTTTTTCAGCAAACACATGCACAAGTAAGTAGATAGACGCACACATTCTTATCTGCAGAGTAGCTTTCCAGAAGCTGGAATGTTCTCCGTGAGCCATGTAAGGATGCTATATTGACAAGATGCATATTCTAAGTTTAAGGCTTCAGCAAAACTGATCAGAACCAAGAATATTTTTTTCCTTCTTTTTATTAGACTGTTTTGACCATTTTGAGAAAATTGCCTCTCTAATTTCAGTTAAAGGATGATATGATATTTACTTACCTTCAAATATTATCCTAACTCCTATAGTCCACAAGATCAGCCGTCAAAAACTAAGATCAGTGCTGCTCCACATCAAAGGAAAAAAGGTCCAAATCCTTCAAGTCTCTATGAATCAGAACCCAATCTAAAGCTGCTTCAGATCAGAGCTTTCTTTTTGTAAGCAGGATGTCCTTCACAGAATTTGTATATAATCCATTGGCTTCATACTTTCCTGGTATAAGACGATGTCTGGTTTGCCTTCACCGTAGTATTCCACCCTGACACAGTGAGATAATGTCTTCTTAAAGACTGGTGTAAAAACTAACCAAGATGAGAAAACCAAAGGAGAAACTGTAAATTCTCATATGGTGCTTACTACCAGCTCCACTGCAAGTGAATCCAGTTGGTCCTCTCCTCAATAGCTCTTCTCTTTTCTTCAGAGTGAATTTCAGCATCTGCTGTTCATCCCCACATCAGGGGAGGGTGCCCCCCCCTCTTTCAAGGATGGAAACTTTCACGCACCTCCGCCAAAGCTGTAAGATGTCACAGTGGATACCAGTGAGCCTGGATTATGTCTTCTTTTCTATAGTATCCTCCCTCATCAATGGATTTTACCGCCTGTTTCTCTCCAATTTACATTTTATGCGGGTCGCTCCTCTGCAATGGATGCTGAGAAAGCGGCGGAATGAGATGGGCTGCTTGTTCTCCCACTGTGGGTCTCTTTCTCTCTCCCTCTCCTTCCTCCACCCTCCCTCCCTAGAACATGCTCCCTCCCTGCTTCTCACTGCACCTCCCAACCTCTTCCTTTTCTCACTCCTCCTCTCCCTCTTTCTCTCTCTCTACACATACAAACACACACAGACAGATATGCACTTCTCTTGCTCTGGCTCTTGAAAATTACTGCTGTGCCATTTCCAGCCATGTCAGACAGAAAGGTTCACCGCCCATCCTCCTTAGAGAAACAAATAAGGCTTGATGAATATGTAAAATCAAACAGATACGAAGAGATGGGGCAACAGCATGAAAAAAGTGCATTGAGCAAAGAGGCAATCGAATCTCCCTTCTTCATCCTCCTAACCTGATTGCTAAATATCCCTGGGGCTGATGCTGTTTTGCATCTCATCTCTTTGTCATAACTTCTCTGTTTAGAGGAGTCTGCTTAATGCTGGCCAGCTGTCAAGAGTGACTGAAGAGCAAGACAAAAATAGAAAGCAGCAGCAACATACTGCATGGAAACAAGGACAATGCATGTGCAGTAGCAGGTGCAAAGTTATATAATTGACTAGTTTAAAGTAAGTAAACTGTAGCAATTGCATATGCATCCACAGTAATCAGTTAACAAGTTGTAGTACACAGTGATAAATAATGTAAACAACACACACACAAAAAAATCACTAACATACTGTGGAAAGTCTCCCGCTGTAAAAGAATTTCACATACAACATTGTTTATGCCACAACCCATTAATGGCATGAACCATTTGTTTTGTACTTAAAGGCCCATGACAATGAAAGATACTGCTTTCACCACACGCCTGCTGTTAGCGTAAGTAATGTTACTAAAGATAGGCAATTATTTTGCCTAACCTGGAATTTTCAGCAAGTCTGACTATTTGTTTTCTGTTTACTTTGTAACCCTGACAGATACGTACCTTTATATGGAAAGTAGAATAACAATTTCACCTATCAGTAATGTAAAAGGCAGAAGAATAGAAAGCATATAGATTAGTCTGAAAACTCTTTGAGCTTTCCAATACAGTAGTTGTGGTAAGGGCATTGTTACCCTGGTATGTAGTTCCAACATTTCATTAATATCTATAGGAAAAAGGTTGAAGTTAAATAAATAATGCTGATACACGAAGATATGAAAAAGTTTTAAAGACCAAATCCTTTTAGCACGCTGTTGATAGATCAGTTTGTACATTTTTTAGCGTGCGCAGTGAAATAGCTCAAGTTTTTATACACGCAAACCTTTGATAGATCCGGCCCATAGAAATTCACAGAAATTCTAGAATTTGAATATATATACATATACATATATATATATATATATATATATACATATATATATATATATATATATA